TATTACAGGATATTTGACCAAGACTATCAATAAGCAAAGTTAAAGTTCCTAGAATGAGAAACCAGAATACTAATTTCTGCATTTTCATTAGCTGCTGCACTGGAGTCCCTGGGAGAATAAGTACAAATTGGACATCTGTTAAATTTGCATTACAGCATGTGACTGGGCAATGCAGTCCAGAAAAGAGCAAGGGAAATTTTAAATTAATTTGCAGGGAAGTATTTTTACAGCTGTTACAGATCTTAAACTCAGCTAGAAGAAGATTCTGCGTTCTTCAAAAATAGGAAGAATGTTTAAAAAATACATTTGTTTTTATAAAAAGGTGATGGCGAGTTCCTGAATGACCTCAAGAACCATATACTTCTTTAGCTGAAGAGACACAGAGCTACTTTTCATATTGCAGATTTATAAAAGCTTTCACTCATGTGAGCACAAGGACAAACTGATAATGTTAGCTAGCCATTAGTTATATAGGCACATAGCAATGCCAGATGGGAGGAGCTTTATGCCATCCTTGAATACTTAGCAATTGCTGAGCTGCTGTCTACACAGGGTATACAGTGCATGTCTGAAGAGCAAAAAATTTCTCCTCCACCCATTAAGTATGTCCTTGTTCACTGCACACAAGAGAACCACTTCTTTTGTTAGGAAATGTCTCTTCTGACTGCCTTTTTGAGGGGAAAAAAAAAAAAGATATGTAAATTCTTTGAGTAACAAGGACCAAACCAAAGGCGGCAAATAAGCTCATCTGAACAGCTGACAGTTCCAGGTTGGTGGCACTACTGTACAAAGCAAGGTGCACATGCATGAGGACAGGCTGCAAAGCTGGGTCACCAGACTGTATGCTATCTGTATTTCCCTTATCAGACAGGGCATCTAGCTAGTGAAGAATTAATTTGGCAAAAATTTCATGACCTTATTCAGTCCAAGATCCAGTGAAGGCCTAAGGCAGCTTTAGCTTAAGCTTAACAGAAGAACCTTAAACTGAAAGTTAAGTTATCAGAGCTATGAAAGTTATGTTCCAGATGCAACACAACAAAATTTGCTTCTGCCAAAGCAGGGGGAAATGCCTGAACTCACAGGCGTAGATTAAATTTCCCCATCTTGAGAGGCTTTATGTTCCTCCATCTGCCCTGCGCACAGCAATTGGATGCTTAGCTCTGTCCTGGTTCAGGTGAGATGTGGAGCTTCAGCAGGAGCTTCCTTTGCCAGTAAGGAGCAACTTCAGTAGGGCAAGTGAAGACATCTCTGCTGGAGCCATGCCAAACCTACGGGGGCTGAGACCACCACTGAGTCTGGGAGAGTGCCCTAATCTGGCTATCCAAAATCCTGTGCTGCTGTCACACTGCTACTGCTTTACAAGGAAGCTGTCAGCTCTTCCAGCTTGGGGGTTCAAAGTCGATTATCCCAAAATTGCACTCTGGTACTTCCCCGATGCTCCTGTGAATGACTGCCAAAATTCACCAGGAGACCTAGCACGCATGGTATCATAGTGTGGAAATGTCTTCCAGTAAATCAGGGGTTTTAGTTCATCTGAATTCTGAATAATCACTCAGCATATCTTCTTTCAAAAGCAGTATTTATTTTTTCATCAAGATAAGACACATTACATACTGGATAAAGTAAAAAATACTGCTAGGAAAGCTGCATTTAACTGAGATAACAACAACAAAAAAATATAGATTGCACTTGAGAAAGTAGGCTCTATCCCAGAAGAATACAGTAAATAAAAAGCTAGTGAGCAGTTTGAAATTAGGAATCTTTCTGAATTTCCTTTGAAAATGTATTTATTTTGGGAGGTTCCAATTCCACCAATAAAAATGAATCAGATTAGGTTTTTTTAATAGCTTTGCTTTTTAAATTAAAATAGTATGTAAACAACATAATAATTATTACATAGACAAAAGAGACAGTAAAGGTATGGAAAAACATCTCTGCATTTTCTGCTAATAAATAGAAAGGAAAAGTTTTGCTGGTATTTGGTCTCACCAGGGTCATTGCAGCATGGGGCTTGGGATTTGGGGAGTTTTTCTTAGTTCACATGTATGTTATCATCCCCACACTGCAACATAAAGCCCACCCTTGACTCTCCTGCACTGGCCAGGAGCATGGTATCTGTATGGCAGATGGCATCATGAAGCAGTGGTTGGTTCCATTCATTATTAAGTGTCCCAGGAGTAATGCTTTAAGTTTTGTGACAAGTTTAGCCTGTATTTAAGAAAGTGAACCCAACATTAAGCAAGAGGGTAATCCCTGTTATACCACTTTACAGCTGAATTTTTCTGCTGGACCCTGGCAGCCACTGCTACCTCTATCTAATTCAGTTAGTTAAACTACTAGCTGTTCAGTCTTTAAAATAAGTATTCATATCATCCACCTTTGTGTATCTCACTTAGATGCCCAGATCAGATTTCTGATGTCTCTATATAGTCAAAAGAGAGAAAGAAAAGTTCCCACATTGGCCAATTTCAACCTAGGGGCTAAGGCACACTTTGGAAGAGCCTCTCTCACCCAATTGCCTTTAGCAGTAACTCAGGCTTCCACACAAGGCTGGATCCCCCAAATTAGGAGATGTAAATACCCCTCCCAACACAGGGCTGGACTGGACTGGAAACTGGACCAGCAGGCAGAGGTGAGTGGGAGGCACCAGGCACAGTGGATGCTTGGTGCACATTTTCCCCTGGGGGGGTGGGAATTAAAGGACCACTTAAAGCACGAAGCCATATGAAACTGATGGTTCCTACAACCAATGCTAACTATGAGGCCAGAGTGCTTAGGCATCATTTGGGCATAATTCAGTCAGGAATATACACTGGAGTGCACTGTTTCAAAAACAATCAATACTGCCAAGGTCTCGCATGCAAATTTCTTCCAAAATTAGCTAAAAATTATGGAAGGGCTAGATCAATCTTGTTATTAAGCTAGAAACAGAAAAAGAATGAAGTCTTCTTTAAAGACTCCTGAACTACGAAACAAAGCTGGCAATCTTTGGTTACAGTGCTGTTCTTTTAATGTGAATTGCTTTGAAAAATGATGAATCACTTCCCAAGTCAGCATTCAGGAGCATTTTTAAATAGACATCTGGGAGCCAGAGAGGAAAAATTAATATAAATAATAAAAAACCCACACTTTTTGAATCTCAAAGCTTGAAGTACAGGAAAGAAAGTAACACAACATTTCTAAGGGCTGTTTCAGTAAAGTTTTGCTAAAATTATAAGAACATTTATAAAATACTTGAGCTGATAAAAAGGATAAGTCAGAACATTAGGGCGCTTTTTTAACAAAACTGTAGATTGCTAAAACATACTGGCTTGAAGGCTCTGAATACTATATGATAGCACATGCCAGTTTCCACTAATTATAACACACTATTGTCAAACTACTTTACTCTTTCAGAGACAGAAACACAATAGGCAACACATACAAGATGAATTGATGCAGCTGCTATTAAATATAAAACCTTAGCCATTAAACGTGCCGCCCCATTCCCTCTGTTACATTCATGATCAAAACTCCAATTCTTTGCCAGACTTAAGTGTGCCTGTATTTTACACTTTTGGAGCAGCATTTAAAAACCTTTAAAGCTAGTTTGGAAGGATTTTATTTTTCCTTTTTTTCATCTAGAGCACTTTCATAATATTTTAAAAGGCATAGGAAGCTATGCTATAGCTTTTAAAGTGCTTATTTTATTATGAGATGGTGTTTAATAATAATCTTCTGGAAGTTAATAAATGATGCACATTTTCTATGACAGACAGACATTGCTTAATGAGTTAATATGCCTCAGCAAAATGCAATCAAAAGGAAATTCACTGTCAACAGTTTAACCATAGCAATACACAGAGCTGAAATGAGACAACTAACCTCAGATAACTAAGATTAATGCATATATGACAAAGTTCTAATAATCCATATTTAAAACGAACAAACAAACGAACAAACAAACCAACCCCAAAGCAAATAATGATAATTAAATCTCAAGCACAGTTTTGTTTCCAATAACACAACTGCAAAACAAATCAATATTTTCAACAAACAAGTGCCCTATCTTCATTGCCTGCGTGGGGAAACATGGCACTCCTCAAACTGCAGTGAGGAGGATACAAGGGGTGGACTGTCTCTCCCTTTTCTTCTAGAGGGGGCTCCTCCTGGGCAACTGTTGGCAGCTCTGGGCAAGGGGCAGGACTTCAGCCCAGGTAGGTAGAGACCAGAATCAACCCCAGCCCACAGGGATTTACGTGGGGACCTAGCAGGAGCCCCCTCTAGCAGAAGCACCTGGGTGATGGCTCCCATGGAGTCACCGTGGCAAAAGTACCAGCCTCCACACCCCCCTACCACCACCAGTGTCCCAGCTTATGCAAAGCATCTACTAATTTCAGCACACAATCTGCTTGAGTACAAACAGTGAGATTTGACTTTATTGGTGTGTTATTTCATCATTACATCTCACTGTATTGGGCTGGAACGCTGGGAAGTTCCCTCTTGGAGCGGGACAAACCATTTTACACTCATACAGGCTCAAATTCTTTCTTCATTTGTACCCACAAAACCCTACTGACTGTCAAGAGAGCGGAGCAGGTAGAAATGGCAGCAGAATTTGAGTGTAGGAACTGGTGAGTGAGAAACAGAAACACAATGCTATTTCATTGCCAGCTACCACAAATACGTACACAACTGGTGTTTAATTTCAGTGGGCATTGTGTGCCTAAGGACTACAAGTGAGCTTTGAAAATCTTAACTCTCAGAATCTAGCTACAGATAACCATAATTCTATATTCTTGGATGCCGATACATAAATCTATGATATACTTGTTTAGCTGCCATGGCACTAATCAGCACAGCTATGCTGAAACACAGCGATCATTTTTGCTAATTGCAAAGGCAGGCTAGTAGCAAAGTTCAAATGATTAGTGAGCAAAGGTCCGCAGAGCAATCCTGCTTAAAAGTAAACGTCTGGTAAGCTGCAATTAGTGTGTCTTGTTTTTTCCTTTTTTTTTTTTTTATCGGGGTGGTCTTGAACTGCAGATACAATCACAACGCTCATGGTGATCCAGCTGTATATCTACTAAGGCCATGTTGTTCCTGGTTCTGCCTTTTCTTCTGGTATGCCCAGCCTCAGGGACGAATTTCAGCACCTGGGAGGATCAATAGAAATGCATTGATTAGAAAACACTGTTAGAGATTTGAGGAGAGTGTTGGGACCCTGAGGGCACAAACAGCCCTTAATGGCCCTGACCAGCATTAATTTGGACACATTTTTGTTTTACTTCCAGCTTTTTCTTTCCACTCTGTGACATCCTGCTGTACTGTTTGTCCTGGAGCTTTGACAGATTGGATTATTTCCTACATCAGGTATCTTTATATCGTGCAGTTCCCTAACCATGTCCAGCGTTGCTCTTTTGCATGCAAATTATCAAGCATGTTTCCTTTGGCTCATCTTTGCAGTCCCATACATATTTGAATTGCTCTGCCCCTTCTCTCACTTGTATAATATTTCTGCTCTAAAGAACAAGGAACATTTTTTTATGCAATTTGAAATTTCTGAAGCACATATCATTAGAATTGGTCCAAAAATGAAATGCCTGTGGGAGGCAGAAGGAGATGAATGGAGCTTGTGCAAAATATGTGCCGGATCCTATTGAGTTTCTCTGGAATCTGACTTCTGTTGGCTTATCTTAAAAATCTCTCCTTCAATTTAAATAATTTCTTAAGAATTTACTGTGAATAATGTGAAACAAACAAACAAACAATTATTTCCTAGGGAAATATACATCATATAGGATGCTTCTGAAAAAATTCTGTCGAGGCAAGATAACCCCAAACCTCCTAAAAAGGAGTGTTGAAGGTTATAAAGGAGATGAAAATGAGGCAACAAACATAAGTTGCAACAAAAGAAATCCTATTTGGGTATATGGAAGAAAATACTGAGAGTGGTTAAACACTGGAGCAGGTTGCCCAGAGAGGTTGCAGAAACCTTGAAGATAGTCAAAATTAACAGGACAAGGCCCTGAGCAACCTCACCTAACTTCAAAATTCTCCCTGCTTTGAATGGGAGATTGGGCTAGATGACCCCCAGAGCTGCCTTCTAACCCATATTATTATATGAATCTATGATTCCCTGAAAATGGTCTGTGGATATGTGGAAACAGCCATAATGTTGCATCCTATCTAAACTTCTGTGATAGTGTAAGTATGTAAACCATGGACTGGAAAATGCTGAGGAGGATGGTGGGTTGCAGGGGCATGCTTTGCAAGCCCACCACTGGAGGGTGAGTTGCTGTGTAAGAGCTCATATTCCCACTAGCATGGTGGTGCAGGTTGAGGGGGAGAAATCTGTTTTGTTTCATTAGTTTGCTGTTGATGGGCATCCAGTAGTTTAACAAAAGAGATATTAATTTCCAATTTCTGCCCTGAAGCTCAAATACTAGTTTGGATTAGGTACAACATATGAGTTAAGACTAAGAACACTTTAACTCTCCTACATTTTTCTTTCCAAATCTCACAGTGCATTGCACAGAAAGATATGCATCATTGTCAAACTTGTATAGACAGAGAATCTGAAACTGATTTGCTCAAGGATCTGCAACACATCAGTAGAAAAAGTACCAGCAGCATTATATGGTCCTTTCCCTTTTGAAATCACGTATTTACTGATGGGGAGCAGGACATGGAGAAAGAAAGGCTGCAGTCCACAGCTGGTGGTAGGCAGGTGGGCCAGTTCTGCTCTCTGTGGCCTCAAGCACTTGAGTCCAGAAACCATGCACCAGTACGGTACTAAAACTAACACATCTTATGTCTTGGCAGACTATTGTGACTCATGCTAGCTTGGCAAAATGACTGCTAGTTCAGCTATATTTGTCTTGCTTGTTCAAAAAATAGAGAGAAGTCTGTCTTGTGTATAACCTGCTAAAGCCACTGGTCAAGTGGGAAGTGGGACCTAAACATCTTTAGTGTCAAAGCCACAGAAATACCCACACTTCTGCCCTGAATAACAGGTCTCCTAACTAACACATCATACTGTTACTCAATTAATAAACCTCTTTTTTTTACAAAGTACTTTCTGTACTTTGACATCACAACACCATACAAGAATTGAGATGGTCTTGGGAAGGAGAAGGAATAAGCAGCTACATACCAGATCAACAAAGTACTAGCAATTTCAACAGAATTAGAAAGTCCCAAAAAGTAAGTGTGAATGACTTGCCAAAGGTTAACCATAGATGCTGTGCAGAGCAGGTGGAGAAGGGCAGGCAGGTGAGCAGCCTTCATTTGTTCTCTACCATTAATGCCTGGAGGGCAGGAAAGCCATGGGATGTAACAAAAGTGATAAGCACGGAACAAAATCTATATCTTGTGATAAAATTTATGTTTAACCTAAGTAATACTGAGAGGAAGGACTGTGCCTAAGCAAGGTGCAGACATGCTGCTTTAATATGTTGGAAATATATAATTACTTTTCTCTGTTAGAAATGCAGAGATGTCATTTTATTTTTTTTTTTAAGCAAAAAAAATTATAATGGTTTTGAATTGATTTGAATTTGAATTGAAGTGGACTGCTTCAATATATGCAATAAATCCTGATGGACACCAGGACAATTCACTGTACCACACTCATCCAAAACACAGGGGAACTGAACCTAATCAGGTTGCTGCGATTATTACAGAGCTGAAAATAGACCGCACCTTCAAAGATGCTTTCTTTAAGAAAACATACTTTTAAAATCAAGTACAGCTGCTGATGCTGAACCTATGATAAAGTTTTTTATTTAAAGAAGTCTTTCATCAAAATCTGACAAATTCACATGATTGGCACTTTGCAAGATCATGGGTAGGTAGATCTGCTTTTTTCAACTGAGAGCAAATGAAAGTATGCAACAGGATGAGAGCAAAGATGTGGGCTGTATTTAAGCTAACAGACCTCCTGACAGCTTGGGGTTTTTCCCTGTGTTTTATATTAAGAAACATGAGCACAGTATACGGGCTTTGCTGATAAGAGTAGAAAAATGAATTGGCAGGCACTTCCCCAGACGAGACAGGAAAGCAGTGTTTGAACACAGCTGAAATTATAGAATCAGAGAGTCATAGAAACTTTTAGGTTGGAAAAGAACTTTAAGATCATCGAGTCCAACCATAAACCTAACACTGCCAAGTCTACCACTAAACCATGTCTGTAAGTGCCACACCTACACATCTTTTAAATCCCTTCAGGGATGGTGACTCAACCACTTCCCCCGGCTTGACAACCCCTTCAGTGAAGAAATTTTTTCTTAACATCCAAGCTAAACCTCCCCTGGTGCAACTTGAGGCCATCTCCTCTTGTCCTACTGCTTGTTACTTGGGAGAAGAGACTGACTCCCACCTTGCTACAACCTCCTTTCAGGTAGTTGTAGAGAGCGATAAGGTCTCCCCTCAGCCTCCTTTTCTCCAGGCTAAACAGCCCCAGTCCCCTCAGCCGCTCCTCATAAGACTTGTGCTCCAGGCCCCTCACCAGCTTGGTCACCCTTCTCTGGACATGTTCCAGCACCTCCATGTCTTTCATGTAGTGAGGGGCCCAAAACTGAACACAGGACTCGAGGTGCGGCCTCACCAGTGCCGAACACGGGGGAACAATCACCTCCCTGCTCCTGCTGGCCACGCTATTTCTGATACAGGCCAGGATGCTGTTGGCCTTCTTGGCCAACTGGCAACACTGTCGGCTCATATACTCAGCCAGCTGTCGACCAACACCCCCAGGTCTTTTTCCGCCATGCAGCTTTCCAGCCACTCTTCCCCAAGCCTGTAGCGCTGCGTGGGGTTGTTGTGACCCAAGTGCAGGACCCAGCACTTGGCCTTGTTGAACCTCATACAATTGGTCTCAGCCCATTGATCCAGCCTGTCCAAATCCCTCCGTAGGACTGCTTTAACAGCTGATCTCGGAACTGATGTTCAAAGCTCTCCATCTAGCTTCATCTAATAGTTTTAGTTTCAGCTAAATACAAGGGAATTGAAAAGAATCAGGAAGTAAGGCCATTTCTAGTGACCACAGTAGTTGAAAGAAAACCCTTTATTCTGAAAAAGCTGCTGTTTATTCATTACATGGTCAGGTCCTTAAAGGTGAGGAACCACTGAATTAATGAAAACAGTTCAAAGAAATTTTGTTCAGGACACTTTATTGCTCTTTTTTTGATGGGATCAAGAGCTGTAAGAAAATATGGATGTGAGGAAGGTCTGGAATGCTCAGAAGGTTTGTTTTGTGTGGGCAAAAAACAATAACTTTGCAGTTTTCAAATTAAAGGAGCAACGTCTGTCACTACTAATCAAAATGTGGTGCCTCATCAGTTCAGATCATTGCCTCACAAAGAGCATATAACTACAGCCATATCCCCCTCATCAAACACTGAGTTAATTATGGTCATAAACCTATTAAAGCAACAACAACAAAAAAATCAAGACAGATGACTTAGCTTCTGAGCTGGATTTGGTGTTTCTAGGTAATACAAAAAAGGGTATCAGGGCCTTGTAGCATTTCTTGTGCAGATAGCTCCATAGGAGCACACCAATATGCTGGATGGCATCTTACTTTGTAGATAATGTCTGAGCATCTGAGAGGTTTCAAGGTGAGGTGACTGTGGCCACTGCATAGCTTTACTTTGGGGGCAGTGGTGAAGGAAATCTAAAGAAAATGATTACACGTGTTTCCCTGTCAGGAACCTTGCTTATTGATCATGCATTGAATTTATATGTTAGCTTTTGAAGGACTCTTTAAATGAGAGAGCAAAGCTATCACAAAAAAACAGTATCTGGAAGCTGAAGCCAGAAAACCTCAAACTGGAATTAGGGCACACTTGTTTAAGTCAGGCCAACTCATCACCTGGACACAGGTTTCCAGCCTGTTTGAAGACATCAGAAAATAGCTACCTTTCCAGAAGGTATACAGTACAAGTTTGGGTCTTGCTTTGGGAGGAACAGGGTGCTCTCCAATGGCCTGTGAAGGACAGGAAGTCAGGGCTGATGGTCTGGCAGCCCCTCTAATTTCAGCAGATCAGTAAGAGAACTTCGTGATCAGAGGCTGAGGAGAAAAAAGCAGTATTGACTGCTAGGGAAAAGACCCATCTGGAGATAACCTGTTCCCCCTGACCCATACCCAGCATTTCTC